TTTGTTAACAACACTAAATGGAGTTCATAGTGCAACTGTACTTCAAATTACAATTTAAAGTCTTCTCTTTCTTGGCAATTGTTTTGCAATACTCCAGAGCTGATGATTCACTCTAACTTCCAATGCTTAGTCCAATTCATGCACTGCTTCTGATGCATAAATGGTTCTGAACCATTTTCAAAGCTGCAGTGCCAGCTGTTTAGTACCACAAATTAACCAGTGAATAAAGTTCATTATCTTTTTACTACAGAATCACTGGAGTATTTGAGTGTATTTTTGCATATTAGACCAAAATCCCACACCAGTCATTGCAATTTAATCCAAGTACAATAAAAAAAATGAGTGAAAATTTGCCTGGCTACACCTTATTGGCACTGTCTACATTGCCTATTGCTGTTAAAAGAAAGCAAAGAGTTACTGGGAATAATTTAGTTATTAATCTAAGAGAATTTACTAAAATGTTTTCAAAACTCTCCGCACCATAACTTTAATGGATGTTGTTTTGAGGAGACCAGCAGTTTCTCCACAAAGCAGATGATGGCACAGTTCTAAACAACTGGCTTAAAGTTTTCCATGTGTGATATCTGTGACCACATTTTCATAATCTCAAGAACTTTAATGCACTGATCCACTTGCTCATTAACCTGTACTACACGATGCTTACAAACATTAATGCATACTGGCATTTGTATTAATTGGCTGATGAGATTTAAGGATGTGACACTACTCTGATACTTTACCAATGACCTAAGCCATCAGAAGTGAACAACCAGCAAAAAAATACTCAGTGTTCATAGATGCAATAAGTGCAAAACATGTTTGAAATAAGTCCTTTTTATTAGCAAAGAATAGTAGCTAAACTGTAAATGAAATGTGTGGAAGTTGGCACTAGAAACCAAAGTTATTGAAATAGTTGCAACAGATTATTTTTCTAATGAAAACATTATGTATACAAATACATTATTTAAAATAAATACACTTTTGTATAACCGCCCAAGCCTGTAGATTTCTGGATAAGAGCTTTAAGTTTTATTTACTAATGAACTAATAACCCCCTGGTTCCTCTCAAGAAACATTAATATGCATAATCAAGAGGATCAGGATTCTGAAGTTATTAAGTCTCTGGAATGTTGTTTGCCTTTTACTGCTCTAACTTATTACATGCAGCAGAACAATGCAGCAAATCTATTAAAACTTCAGTTTGGTTCACAGCAAAGAAAATGGAGTTAACAATTCTGCAATACGTGGGAAAGATCTACCACAAAAACTGGAGTTGTTTCTCCGTTTCCTTATACCATCTCTTAGCACCATGGTGTTTTGTGTTAGACTCTACTCTCTGGAGCAGAATGTTTTCTGTCCATGAATTTGCAAAGCTTACACAGAGCAGTCTGTGTCTCTGCCATGTGTGTGTGTTTCAAATCTAAAAAAGGGGCTTGGTTTTAATTGATGTATTACATTTGCATTTTGATTTTGTTCTATTATTGATTAGTTATACAGGACACTGAACCGATGTGTACTAGCTATAACAATTATTAATATCAGTAAGCAAACCTGTCAAGATAAAAAATCATTTTTGATCTGCACTACTCATAGGCTTTTCTCCAAGTATTGAACACAGAAGGTGGGGAGCAGATTACAACTGAGACTTCTGTGGGCCATGTCCATCAACCCTGATCAAATACTGCCTTTCATCTATGTGGAAAAAAAAAAAAAAAGCAAAGAACACCCTGCTTACAGTGATTTACACACACACACACACACACCAGTTACACACGACACGCTGAAGGCTTTGAAACCACTACATTACACCAAGACTGGATCTATGCTTATCTGGAGTTGCTTCTTGAAGGTGTTGACAGTCCAGTGGTGATAGAAAGAAAGATTTGCAGTTTCCCAGTAATTTAATTACCACCCCCAAAGCAGATTATCATGAAGATTTTACTTCACAAAAAACTATTTTCACAGTCTTCTTTCAGGCGCAACAAACCAAAATTTTCAACAGATGTTTGAAAAGACGACGTTAGTGGGTTCGATTCAGAAAAATGGGAAGCAGAAGGATAAAACTACGTTGAGATACCAAGTAAATTATTTGTAATACTTTTCATACTATACTTATTCCATAGGCTTAACTGCTAGTGAAAGTACCAATGAAGTAAAAACCCTGAAGACCAGTTCTGCAAAGAGGAAGTGGACTAACATGAAAAACTGACTGTGGCCACACCATCATATGGCTGAATTTTGGACACTAGTTTCAATGTGTTGTCCAAGTCACAGACTTGGACTTTCCTTCAGAGTAATCATTAATTCATTTCTACTTTCTCCAGTACAACTCCATCAGTACTGGCAGCTCTGCTTCATACATATTTCTTTCTTACAAATGAGGAGCACACAGCCTGTACATCACCTCAAGAAAATGCAGTTTAGCATAGCCTCTATTTTCAGAGCTCATCACTATCCAAACCCTCAGTTACTGCCCTGTCTCACTAACTGCTGATTTATTTGTATGTAAATGACTTGTTGCTGCTTAATAATAAACACATAAGAACCTTCATAAACTTCTTTCATTTATAAGATGATGCCAGGCAACAGAAATAAAAAATCTGTTCAGCATAAGGCACGTGTAATGTAGGTAAAATTGGTGATTTAGAAAGAACATTTGACAAAAGGTATAACCTTTTAACCACAAATGTTGTTCTAGCATTGCTATGCAGTTTTTTTCCCCCCTAAAGTCACTGGTGCTTTCCAATACAAGCACATGAAGAGACTACCAGCATGGTTTATTAAAACATAAAATCTAAGAGTTTGCTGGCACAGCTCATCATTTTCTCTGTATGACTGGAGTGTTTTTGGGTTAAGTAAGGCTGAATCTCAGCACACTGGCCAGAAGTCAAGAGCTGAATCTATTTCAGCTGCTGGGCACCCATGATTTACCACCCTAAGCAATAAAAAGGTGAGTTATTACAGTGCCTGTGGTTGCTTTATTCAGTTATTAACTGCTAGACACTTTTCTAGACTCATCTCTGAGGGATGAAGAGTTAACAACTTTGTTCAGTTTGCCTCTCCTCTCTTCATTCTCCAACTGTTAACAAAAGTATCAGACGTCAGACAAGGACACGGAAAACAATACTTCAAAACATTTTCAAATGTTGAAGCACAGGACAACCAAATAATGTAAAACAGGCACAATCCTTCATAAATAATGATGAATACTTCCTAATACTTCAGAAAACTCCTATTTTTTTTGTGAATATCTCAGGCTTTTTCAGAAAAGGGAACAAATACCTGATCATAGCAAAGAGCTCTGCAGGATAACAGGCACGAATATTCAGCAACCCTCCTCCCATCACAGAGACTTGCCAGGTCAGAGCATGCAGCACTCTCTCCTGAAGTAGCAGTTTCATAACCTGCAACCCTGCATCTTTTTTTTTTTATGGGAGGGGAAAAGGAGTTTGAAAATTGCCAAATATGACGAACAAACTGGTGTGAGGTAATGTTTCAGAAATCTTCTGGCATTACAGACCATACTAAAAGATGACCATTTGCAGTGACTGTTTCATTGCCTTGGGCAACAGTGCAAGCCACACCATTTCTCCCAGTTGTTTACTGGGTCTGGTTATCGCCCTCAGTTTGTAATAGGAAGTCCCAGTGCTGATAAATCATGACCTACTTAACTGACATAACCGAGGGCTGTGTTACAGAAAGCTATTCACGAGGAATAAAGCACATCATTATTTCTATTGCTCATTTTGTAATTTGCTGTAACTTAATTAAACTCATATTGCTGACTATTGTGGAGAGGAAAGAAAAGGAGGAGGAAACTGATTCTGCTGTTGAGAAATAACTTCCTTCAAGCTAGCAAATCTTTAAACCTCAAATGGCTAAGCTCTCAGCAGGCCCAACACAGTTCAACACGTAGCTATGTTTTAATTTCCTTTAACCACGGGATGTAAGTCACAGCTCCAGTAATGTCTGGAGTGAGATATTTTGTGCTGATAACGATGCAGTGTTTTATACCCTGCAGTTTCTAAAAGCCTGGTATCCCACAGGAATTTCACAGAATTGAGAAGATGATACCCCCTTGCTTCTATGGGGTTAACATCGTCAAAGGCAGAGTAATTTAGTTGTCAATCTTAAATGAATACACTTCTTTTCCTACTGCATAACAAAAATATTTTTAACACCACTAGCCTCCAAAACCATTCCTCATTTTACCTCTCTTTTTATTTTCTTTCACCAGTCTAATGACATATCTGGTTGATGATGATATAACGTACCTTAAACAGAGATCTCTAACAGTTATGTTTTTTTCTTTCCAAAGTGCATCCAACCATGTTCCATATTCCCAAGGCTATTTCCCACCATATCACATGGCTACCTGCAGTTCTTCTCTATTTGTACAGTACACCCCATATAAATTGTACCCAAACTTTAAATCATTATCTGTGTCTAGCAGTGTATCTGACCTGTTTTTAAGAAATAATTTTGACCTTTCAATACAAATCAATAAGTAATTTTACAGAATGTACGACTTATTTTCCATGTGATTCAAGATGTTTGAGGTGTTTTTCCTGTTGTATTCTTCACAATCTCAGCTAGATTGAAAAGCTAAATTAGCAGTTTGTTTCTTTACACCTGATGCCTCTGCACTTCACTTTCCTGCACAGATTCTAAATTTGTCTCTTCAGACACTCAGCTAGAACCTAAGGAAGGAATAAATATTCATTTTTGTTCACAAAATAGCATACAAAATTACCTGAAAAACACAAAAATGTTCATTCTGAACGACACACTACCTGTAAAACAGAATGGATTTAAAACTTGTGTTGCATGTGTTCAGAGATAAAACAACCTACTCGATAACGCTCGTGGAAGTTGTGAATTTCAGACTTTCTACCCCCTTAAAGACAACATTTCTGTAACTTTTCAGAAGCAAACAGTACTAATATGCAGTAAATATGAAAGAGATGATTTACATCATTTATCATTACTTGTGTCCTTACCTGCTTTTGCATCCTGGTTGAAACGAGAGTATTTGGATAGCTCGAGCAGTGGGAGGCATTGCTCAATAGGGGTCCAAATATATGTCTCTGGACACAACAAGTCAGAGGGTCTATACTGGCCCTACAAAGGAGGAAAGGAGAAAAAGAAGAGTCAGATCAATTGCACAAGCACAGTCTGGCTACACGTTTCCAGACTTCCCTACAAGCAAGGAATGGTTTTAATCTAACCTAAACAAACTGAGTAAGAAACAGCTTCACTGTAAACACAAGCTTATTCCTTTAGTAATTTCTGCATTAGCTCAGGAATACAGACTTAACCTTGGCACTTGGAAAAAATAAAATTAACACGGTATATTTTATGTTATCCAAGATGTACTCGAGAAATTTTGGCTCTCCTTACTGAAACTCTGTGTTTAAGTTATCCTCTAGTGATCTGTTGAGCTGGTGCTGACACTAAAAAACTCAGCACCTCAGAAAGCAGCTTGTCTCAAATGTTCTTCATTCTAGCAAAGTAACAGCAACAAAAAGAAACCCTTTTTAATAAAAAAAAGAGCACTTCACAGTAAGTAGGATTTTATTTTTACTGTATTAGTGATAGAGCATTTTGTTCATTGAACATTAAATAGCAATACTGTCTTGTCAATGCATGGAATTTTTCCTGGAATAGCTTACAGGTAATCATTATGAAATTCCGCTATTTTATTTAAGATATTCTTTGCAGACATTCCCCAAAACTCAACCGTGATATTTATTTTCCCTTCTGTTACACAGAAAATCACCACCTCAGCAATAATAACCATAATAAAAATTTTTTTTTTAATTATTTAAAATAAGATTATTCATTGGGCTATAACTTAAAACAAAGATCTATCTTGGAGCCATTATTCATTCAATCCATTTACTCTCAGTCCCCATAGCCATATGTGGCAATATTTAATTTTCAAACTGGAAATTCACTACATTATCAGCTTGGAAGAACAAGTATACAGTAAACAGATTGCAAACACCTAAGGATTTCATCATGCTGCCCTCAATGCAATTAAGAGTTCTTCATTTGAATTAAATAGATAATGATGATGATGATTTTGGAAAGAAAAATTCATATTTTTGCCAAGTACTAAAAACTAATTGTTGATTTCTTTTCAACATCAATGAACATAATTCTGTAAAAAGTCACATTCACAAACTCTGCTGTTCTTTTATAGATCCACTCCAGTGCAACAACACGTGGTTTTGGAGGCCGTTTTCTGGATGTTTACAGAGATTCCAGCTTCTTTTAATTCTCTTTCTGTTCAAATCCTGACAATATTTAGAGTCAAAGAATGAACTTTTCATTATTTACGTCCTATCAAGTTTAAATTGTTGAGTCAGAAATACAAATGTTATGTCTGATGGAAGTCACAACTGTCCACATGAATAAAAGAATGATTTTGTTCCCATTTCCATCTGAGGAAAACAATATTCCTTCAGTTTCACAGAAGAGCTTAAACTTCATGGCATTAGAAAATTCTCTAAACCTGGAGAATGGAACTGGCATTGAACTGTTAAACTATCTAAACATTTGAAAGAGATGGGAATGCAATGCCTAAAGAATGTGCTTAGACAATTATTCAGATGAAACAAATCAAGGATTAGGGAAAAAGTATTCCTTTTCATTAAGGAGCAAAAAAATTAAGCATAGCTACTTGTGGATTTAAAGACATTTTCCCAGTTGGCCAGAGGCAGAAATAGCCAAGCAAACATCTCAGAACAGCCACCAAAGCACAAGCACAGGGTGGTGGAGGTGCCTCTCCTGCAAGCATGGATAGGCTCCTACATATGTAGACTGCTCACTTACTGTCCTTCTACAAGATCTTGCCACTAGACAGTAAATTATGATGGCTGATCCAGAAGCAATGCCTCCCATCTTACTACCTTGGCCCACAGCGTCAGAGGCAAATGGTGGTGGTATGGCAGTGGTTGACAGATGGCACCAGAGGGGCAGTCTGATGCAATGGCATCTGACATGGAAGTGTGTAAGGTGGAATTGAATTCCTAAATGTGGAAAAAAGGCACCCATTGACACTCATCGATGCTCAGCAAACACGTATGGAGACCAAGCAGCAGATGTGAGCACAGTGAGGAGTGGGTGGTACATTTCAGCAGTGCCAACTAGTTCCAACCCCCAAATCCATCACTGAAAATCCAGTATTTATTTGGGGGATCGCAACTCCTAATTTAGGAGGCAAAAATGAATAAACAGTTCTGAGGTTTCCTCTTCCCTCAAATTTAGAATTTTGTCAATAAGTTTCCCTGAAGATGAGTGACACGGAGGCGATGACACAGAGAGGTCTCACCAACCAGAGACATAAAATAGAGTTAGAGCTAAAAGTTAAACAAACCATTCGTGCTCTTCAGTATTCTTGCTTACTTTTTAAAACTATTTCCAAAGATGATAGAGGTAAGATTTTTTTCTCCCTTAAAGGTATTTTATTTCCTCTCCCAGTTAAAGCCACATCCCATGAATCATTCAGCGGAGGAAGTGGGAACCCAGGGACACACAAGGGTGAGTTTTCCAGTCAAGTGTTGGCACTCTCTTTATATTGACATAATTAAAAAGGCAACCCACAGAAACCTCTAAATCAAATGGAGTGATTTCTAAGGGCTTCTACTCCTTTTTTTCCATTCCTCAAGTGATTACAACCAATTTATTTTCTTTTTAAAAATGTTAAAAACTCAGTATGAAAGTAAATGATAATGGATCAATCTCTTTTCTTCCCTTATCCCTTCTATTCCTACGCTGTGAAAAATTTCCACCTGAGAATCCAACCAGATTAGATGTCATGTATAGGAGGGCCTGTATTCAAGAAAAAGACACACATTCAAAATCATTATGGACTCAAATATTTACATTGTCTAAAAAAGCCCCGTCTACAAGAGGACTATTCATATTCCATCTTACTCTTAATACCACCAGTTTGCAGTGTACACCCAACGTACATCAATAAGAAAGGGAATCTCCTACTGCAGAGCTATTATCACAGTAGAACTTTGTAAGGATTGTCAGAATTTGCTTTTCAAATATTTCTCCTTGGCTTCAGAATGAATTAATGTGCATTTCAAAAGTCAGACTACAGTAAAAAAACCCACAACTGAAAACATGTTGCTTTCTTTTGTCTCGCAGTATAGAAGTCCTCATAGCACTGTTTGTACTGCCCAAACCATCCTGGGAATATTCAACTACAAGGTTTTCAACAAAAACAACCAGCTTACAGACCATCCCATAGCACTTCTCTTCTAGTTCAGCTTCGTAAACCCACTAACCACCTGCTGATAAAATGCACTGTCAAGATACAACTGCAATATGTCCAGCAGTTTGCTATACAGATGATTCCATAACCAGCTGACTTTGGAAACAATGCATTTGGACAGCCATTTTTCCTAACCCTGAACAACTGCTTTTAATTACTGCAGCCTTCGAGCTGTAGTTTCCCTCAATGACCATTACTACCACTGTGATATACATGCATGCCCAATCACTGTGTTATCAAAGTGCCTCCCATGATCTTACAGACACACAACTCTAAAAGGACATGGTTTTTTCTTTTTACTCATTCCTCTAACATAAGCTGCTCCATACATCAGAGATCAGCAGTCTGATCTCTCTAATTTTGCTTTATGTTCTTTGAAATATAAGGAAAGGGGGATGGGGGAGGATGGATGGACTCACAGATAGAAGCATCTGTTAAATAACTTGATTAAAAAGATCAACAGTACTTGATTAAAAAGTAGTACAGCTAAGGAAATCCTGAGTATATGATTTCTTCTACCAAGTCAACTCCTTGCAATATAAACACGGCCATCTATTTAATAAAAATAGCTACAAGACTTCATTTTCTGAGAAGTCTGGGGCACTTTCCCCTCGTATAAACAAAAAAACCCTGAAGGTGCTTTCCCCCTCATACTACTAGATATGCTGCATTTTAATTGGAAATTTCTGGAAACCTATTTTACAGTGAAGCTGCCAAGCCTAAATTAATACTTCACACCGTGATATTTTTTGTTTTACTGTTTCCAAATCAAAATCGACCAGTACTTCTCTGAACTTTTGTCCCACAGGAAGGGCAAAGGTTTTAATGAGACTTAAGTCTGGAGATTACTTTTTGAATATTTTGTAAAATCTGAGGGATTTGGTAAGCATTTGAGATGGAAAACATCAGCAGAGTTTGTTTTTGTAGTCTAAGTAGAACTTAAAATGTAAAACTACCAAGAAAGAGAATAGTCTGGAAAACAAAAAAGGTCAAGCAACAGTAGCACTGAAAAAACAAAAAGGGAAGGTTAAACACACATTTAATTCTTTTATCAAGTGCACTTTACATCTGTCTCCTATTTCTTCACAATAAACTCATTGATCTTTTATTAAAAGTGAATTAAGACTGCCTTCATCTCAATTTCCACCCAGCTGCTTAAAACAAAGCTCTCAGACTACGTAAACAAAATAATTCCAAATCATCAACAGCAATCCATTAATGCTAAGCAGCACAACAAGACTAAGAGTGCATCAGGTTTATTAAATTCAGTCCTTCCACTGAAAGACAACCCCAGTGGAATCCCAGCAGCTCAATTCTGCAGCAGACCCTTGCTCCCTGACTTCATTCCACAAACAGAAAAGGTCCCTGCTGACCCCAGAAGAGTAACCCCAAAGCCCTGCTTTCACAGCCAGCGGGACTGAGCTGGACATCTGAACCCCTTTGTGCTTCCAGTCCTCAGCGTCACTCCTGTGTGCCCCGTGTGTCTAAAGGGAGGAAGAAAGAAGGGAAAAAAGCAACCTGCACAGTTCTCTCCCACCTCACAGTCACCATATTGTTTTTGTTCTTTTTGAACAAACAAACTAGCCCTCAAGATTAATACACATAGAATGAACAAAGCTTTATTTTATCCATGAAAATAATCCACGGTTGGATGCTTCAGATTTATCATCAAAAGTATTCCACTTACAAGGAAGTGTATCTCAGAAAGGAGTTCAATCAGCCAATGTATGGATTGCAGATAATTTGATGAATAAATAACAATTTGGATTTAACCACAGAATCCATAATTGCACGTGCAATTCTCTAGTAACAAAAACACGAGTGATTTTAT